TGAAGAGATACATTAGTGTTGGATCTAATTACGTTCTTAAAGCTGAAAAGAAGGCAGCTTTAACTATGTGCCATAAGAACATTGTTGGGTTGGTTGGTTTCCACCAGAATGAGACTGCAATGGCTTTGGTGTTTCCTTATGCTTCCAGAGGTTCACTAATGGACAGATTTCTCAATGGTTGGTGACTGATTTCTTCCCCTTTTGTACTCAAGAACATCACAGAACAGAATTTAATTAACATTTCTTTTTGACTTCGGTGTATAGCTCAGTTGGCAAAGAGGCGGGGCGACTTTGCCTCAAATACAAGTCAGGTCATGGGTTCGGTCATGGCTAGCCTCAGTCACTGAGTGAGTCAAAAAATGTCCCTTCACATTGGTGCCCTTGAAAGCGGTTTGGTGTGGGATTGGTTAGGGTTGCTGGTAACTAACAACTGTTTTTTGTTTAGTATTCTGGACAAAAGAGTTGGAAGTTCCATTTCCGAGTAAAATGAACATAGCGATTGAAATAGCTCAAGGTTTACGTTATATGCACGAATAGTGTCCTCGAGGACCTATCGTTCACGGCGATTTACGACCATGCAACATTCTCCTAGTCACAACTTACAACCTCAGGTAGATTCAGTTGGCATGCTTCATCCACTATAATAAAATCAAACACTTGATCCATCATTGACATGTGCTGCTTCTTGTTGTTCTTAAAGATCACAGGCTTTGGCCATGCCAAATGGCTAGAATTTGAGGAATCAAAAAGAAAAAAAAAAGAATGTTAATGGTTATCCCCAAGGTTCAACGAATGAATGAAGCTATGCTATGTACAAGTTTTGTACTCTATTAATTTCTCAGTCCCTGCTGTGCAACCTTTCCTCGGGTTCGTAGAGTCGGATTTCTCAAGAGTGGGCTCAGCAGTCGGCCTATCTTTCCGGGCGCACGCATAAAGGCATGTTTAGTTCCACAAATTGTAAATAGGTTCTCAAATTTTATAATGGAAAATGCAATCTATTTTAGATCAACTTGTGTGCTCGTTGGCTGAAATCTTTAATTTCTCCGGTCCGTAAAGTTGTGAATAAAGTAAATTCTAAGAGTAATTTGGACAACTCTTTACTTGATTTGGTGCAATCGAAACTTTCAAGGGGAAATCTAGATTTCATATTGATTGGTTTTATGCGCAAAACTTCTCTCCTTCCATTGGGTCTCAAACACATGCTAAAAATTTCTATATCTTGTGGGTTGATTGGTGTGGGGGCAAGGTCTTGTCGGTTAGCTCCTTGTTGTGGTTGTGGTTTTCTCGTTGTTTTGTTGTTGTGGGTTTCTTTGTTTAGTGGGTTAGTGATTTTTCTATATCGTGTAGAATCTATAACTAACTTTCTTTGTACTTCTTTGCTTTTGTTTAATATATTGTTTTGTCTTTCAAAAAAGAAATAATCATTTTTGGAATTATGTTTTTAAGTTAACACTTCTTGATGCTTAAACGCCCCCTCCCCCTTTAAAATTATTGGATATTGTTTGGAGTTGACCAAATTTACATTTATCAGCGACGGATCAGATCGTCGTTACTAATGCTCATTTCCTTCGTTGATAGTTCGTGGGCCAAATAGTGGTGTGTAATGCTATCAATGATGGAATTGAGTGCGAATTAGCAACGGACAACTTTAGTGACAAATCAACGGTGAATTATTTTAGCGCCGAATTAGCAAGGGCTATTTAGCAACGGATCAACGATGGACCTTACAGATTAGCGACAACCCATATTAGCGATGTATTAAAGAGGGCCTTGCAGTAAGCGATTAGCAACGAGTCCCACCAACTTTTAGCGATGGATTCCCAACGCTAATTTTTGTAATTTAAAACAAAATTAAAATTATATATTTCTAGTATATTTTACACAAAACTTGCCCATAAATTCAACATAACAAACCAAAACTGGCGAACAAAATAAAAATCACCGATTCATACAATTCAAAATACCAATTTCGTACAATTCAATTAATGTCTGGGGGGTACGTAACAATCTAACTTGGGCAGGGGAAGAGATAGTGTATCCATGTTGCATCAAAAGCAGCAAATTGATGCGATGACATGACTTGCTCAACTAACTTGACAGCTTGTCTGGTTGTCGGGCCCCGGATCTGCTCTACTCTTCCTTTCAGCCTCCAGCTCGGCTAGATACCCTGAAAAAGCAGGGTCACCTTACGCAACTTCCCCTTGTTTGCCTCTTCTATCCTTTCCATTTTCGTTTTCAACTCACCTCCCTGTAGATATTCAATATTTGAGAAAAAAATCAGTAAATTGTTGGCAATGAAAAGTAATGACATGATACATAACAATGTAACCAACATACCTTCAGTGTCGATCCAGTAATGGGTGATCTCTTAGTGCTGCTACTATAATCAGTAGTCATAGCATAATGGGGATCCTAGGGTCCCAAACCCAAAAAGATGACCCTTCCTTCATCCTTCGTTACTCTGCTCCCAAAGAGATGTATTATCAGGAGGTATGTTACTGGGATAAACACTAAACATTTCAACAGATTAACGAGTGTAAATCAAACATATTCAATGTCTGCTTTTAACAACTATAATATTTTAATCACCAATGGTAGCCACATTGCCAACCAACATGTCTACTTAGACAAGTTTGAACTTCAAAATACAACTTGCCAATAGTAGTATTTGTCAGACTAATATTCGACTTTATCTTGTATTGATTTTTTTTTTGGCTAGATGCCATAGGTGTTGTTCACCGGATATACTCTTTACAAAACAACTAAATTTATTTCTAAGTTTATATCAAATGTTAAATGTACTATTTACAAATCCGATTATTGGGACCAACATATGATATTAGGATGCTTAAACATTTTAAACGTCCAATAAATCCAATTTTATTATAATGCAGTCATCATAACCTAATCCAACTCATTTGACTCGGTTACAAAAATTTATCATGTAAAACATTTGACTTAGTTACAAAAAATTTATCATCATTTTTATTTTTGGATATATTAATTATAATCGTTTAATTTTAGAAAACAAATTTTATTATTATTTTTGTAAACAAAATTTTTTATTATTATCTTCTCTAATATGGATACCAACTTCATGAAACATCAGGAAGCAGATTCATGAAAAAATTCCATCAAATAAGAAATATATTAAACAATTTTATTTTTACGTACAAACGAAAATTAATGAAGCAATTTTATCAAATTAAATGATTTCATGAAATAATTTCATCAAATAAAACACTCTCGTGAAACAATTTCATCAACATGAGAAATACATGAAACAAATGCATTTTCACATTAAATAAAAATAATTGTCATAATTGAACGATTAATGAAAAGAATAAAAAAAAGTATCTCATGAAACATTAACCAAAAGACATTTGGTCTAACGGTACGTAAGTTTTTGGCCTCAGGCCAATGGTGAGGAAGGTGTGAGAGTTTATTTGTTTTATTTGTCATATATAAATATTATATACTTTAAAAGGAAAACATTAACAAAATAGATAAAAGAAAAACCCTAATAAAACAATTACCAATAAAAATAACCCAATAAATTAGGAAGTTGGTATACCATAATTTTTCGTTAACCAAATCGACAAGGAAACACTATTTTCTTGATTTCATCCACTTGTTGCGATTAAGACTATTAACTTTTTATGACGCTTTTACCCTTCCGGCCTCTTGTAATTAATGAACCAAATTAATTGTTTTATTGACATAAATAGTCTCCTTTAATCACATACATTGATCAATGAATCAACGAATGAAAAGGGTCTGTAACGATTTGTACAAATGACTTGGTTTGCAAAATAAACCACCCCTATATATAAGATTGGGCTCGGAGTAAAACAACAAAAAATGAAAAATTGAGGAACACTCTAATAACATTTCAGTTGGAGGGTATACACATGTGTGCACACCAGCATAAAAACCACGAAACAACTTCAATTACTTTTATGTATATGTGCATACCGTTAGATGAATGGTTACCAGGACTTTAGTCAGTTTTTTTTCTGGATTTTCCTCAAACCTCCGTCTCTATATATATACATATGATAAAAGATGATTAATCTATACTATATTATAAAGCATTTGACAAAAACTCTTAAAAACTACTTTTTATACGTAAAATACTATTTATTAATGCATATTACTTAAAACTCAAGATTACAAGTAGATTGTGCGTAAATATAACTTATTAAAGCTCCACATCTGAATTTGTGTAACTAACTGCAGATAAACATAATCAAATACAAGATAAACATCTCATTTTAAATATAAAAAATCTAAAATATAATTAGGATAATCATTGAGTTCAAACAAAATTACTTAATTATTATCTTTATAAAATGTTATATTATTAAACCAAAAATAAA